AAATAAGTCTTGGGTTAGGTTTTTTCCTCCTGAGAATTTTGTTGGCATTGTTCTTCTCATGCTAAATGCTAAAGAGAAGTTTGAGGTCTGATTTCTACCCTCACTAAAATTTATTTTTTGTTTTCAGCAATTTGACCTTGAGGTGCCTAGATGTGGTTTTCTTTGGTTTACCCTATTTGGAGTTGAACTTCTTGAATCTGTGGGTTTATATTTTTCATCAAATTTGAAAATTTATAAGCCAATTTTTATTAATGTTCCATGTGTGCTCCTAAAAAATGTTTATTCTCTGTTGAGTGAAAAGATCTACATTTATCCTCTCTAGATCAAGTTTATTAATTTTATCATTCAAGTCTTCTAAATCTTTGCTCTTCTCAGCTGCTAAATCTATCCATTGCTGAAAAGTAAACATTAAAATCTCCAACTAAAGCTGCTGATCTATTTCTAGTCTGTCCATGTCACTTGCTTTATCTATTTTGAGACTGTATTATTAGCAACATACATACCCATGATTATAATATCATTTATTACATTACTAGTAGATGTCATCGTTTGCCCAATGGCATGTTTATCTTATAATTGTTCTGCTAATGTTAAAGTTGCTGCCATGACTGTTGTTCAATTTACCAGATATATCTTTTTCCATCTTTTTAATATTCAATCTATAGTATACTTTTGCTTTAAATATATCTTTTATACACATTGCTACATCTTTTAGAACCCAACCTAGGAGGACTATGTGAGGCAGAAAATTTAAATGTCTACAGAAAATATGAGTGGATGAAACAGATAAGCAGACCTTCAGCTGAACCAGTAATGCAGTTGGAGGTAGAGGTATTTCAAGGTGAGGCGCTTGTCATAATGGGCATTCTTAATTTATTCCAATCTAAACAAGTCGATGCCTTGGGAGTTAGGCCTAATCTCAAAAGGCTTAACATGCTTTCTGAAAGAGCTGAGGCGATCAGCATGTGGCTACCTATGCCTTGTTTCAATAGGAAAAGGAATATTCACAGGTTGGAAAAGTTTCCATCCTCGGAGGGTTCAAAGACAACCTTCATATTAAAACGGGAAAGTGAATGACAAAGGAAGGAGAGATCCTTAAATCATGGCATCACTGAGCATCCAAATGCTTGCTCTGGTCTACATTCCTTAAGTTATTATCCAACAGGCTCAATGGATTAAAAGCTTTTTGAAAAGCCTGGCTGCTTTCCACAGAACTGGCAGGCAGGGAGATAATACAGATGACCCCACTGAAATACACTAAAGTCAGAGACATATGCCTTGTAATGAGAAAATACTCAGAATAGAGAAGGATAGACTGGCTACTGAATTACCAAAAGACCCATAATGAAAAATTAGGCCTGATAAAGTGGGTGAAGCAAAACTTATGTGTACAACTGTTCTTCCTTGATCTCTGAAGCACGGGGGAGAGTAGGACAGGATTCCAGAGGATGTGCGAATTCTTATCCAATTCTAACACAGATTGTCTGGAAAGACTGAGAGAAAGCTACTCCTATTTCCCTGATTCAAAGATACTATATATCATTTTTAATGCTTAAGCAAGTCTGTGGCAAATGTTGTACGGAACAGATTTAGACATGGTCCTTGAAAAATAAACTACATTCAAAATAAGGCAGACACTTTCAGGTGACAGACCACGTGGGATACTTCCAATACAGAGCTATGAAGGATGAAGATATATATGTGTGTGTGTGTGTGTGTACATATACATATAAATACATACACACATATGATGGCAGACTTCCACAAAGAAATCTAAGAGCTATAATTTCAAGAGATTCCCTTATTTTTCTACCTCTAGCAAGTAAATAATGATGTGAGAGCCTTTTGGGGAAAAGGGAAGGACAATTATCTCTTTAATCTTCCTAACAACCCTGAGGCAGGTGTTACCATTTCCAATTTACAGATGAGTCTGGCTGCAGGTTTCCTTCCTGTTACCTCAAGGATGCAGGAAGGAAGGGTGGGAGGGAGCTGCTCTGCCTTTGAACTGACTAGAAGGAATTAAAGCTGGTGGCTTCAGAACCAGCAGATACACAAACACATCTTGGTATCATGATTTTTTAAAAACCATCAAGTGACACTTTTTAAACCAATGCAATGGTTTCTATTCCTTTTCTAACTTGATTCGTCTTTTGGAATTTGCTCTTCAAGAAATGTTAGGCTCAGTAATGAGGCCTATGAAGGCCAAGAGCTCCAGATCCTGCAGAAATCCAGCATGACTTTCTGTGAAACTGCTAATAAATTATTCAGTTTTGCCTTGAAGCCACTGAATAACTGGGAATAATTTGAAAGCCAGTGTCTCAAAAAAAAAAAAAAATTACCCAGTAGTCCCACATGGGAGTACTATTTACCCTGAGAATTGTTAAACTCCACCCAGCAAGTCCACAGTAAATTGGTATTTTGTCCCTGTCAAGAGGTGGCTCACATCAAAGTTGTATTAACTTTTAAAAGTCCATTTTCAGCCTGCTTTCACCAAACCCGTCTAGTAATTGCCTTCTCCTGAAAATCCAGTTCAAACCCACTAGGCCTCCTGACAGACAACAAAAAGGAAAACAGTGGGTGAAAATCAGAGCCAGAAGCACCTAAAGGAGCTATTAATACAGTGTGTGTTGTTGTGTCAGCCTGGCAAGTAAAGCCTTAGGAGCCTGGCCTTGGTGTATGTTCTGTGAGGTGAACACAGTGACAAGAAGGAAGGGTACCAAGCACCTACAATATACCAGGCACGATGTCGTGCCCTTTTCCTATTTCAATTTATCCTCCCAACACCCTCTACATAGTCAAATGAACTAACTTGATAGATGCGGGGCAAGTGTAGCTCAGTTTATGGGACCTGACTGAGGTCACTTGCTTAGAAAGTGGCTGAATTAGAGTTCACCTACGTCTTTGCTTCTCAAAGCTCATGCTCTTCTCATACCATACCCAATGTTCTAAGCAAGAAAACCAAAATGTTTTAACAAGGAGCCCACAGAAAAGGTATTTCTCTTTGATGGCTATGGGGGTGCAGCTCCTCTCCCACTGAGCAACAGATGAGAGACTGAGCAGGGTGTTAAGATACCCAGTGGGTAAAGCTGAAGTCACATTGTTTGTCTAAAGATGTGTCTACGGTTGTTCCTGTGAACTGTCACCAAGTGAGGACTGTTCACTCACACACCTGGACAGGAAAGGTTTCCTTAGACTGGAAGAGTAAAAAGGATAAAATTAGTATTAATGGGTAATAGATCTTAATGATCGAGAGCATGAACTCGAGCCAGACTGTCTTGGTTTAAATTCCATCTCCCATTTTGCTGCAGAATAACCCACTATGCGTTTACAAGGGTGTCTGAGTGTGGGGGGCAGTAGAGATAATGAGTAGGAGTGGCCATGTGTGGTATTTGCTGAAGCTGGTCAGTGAGTACATGAGGTATACTGCATTATTCTATTTTTGTGTACATATTAAATTTCCCAAAACAAAAGCATAAAAATAAATAAACCTGGGCCCCTCCACTTATTAGTTGCATGACACTGACAAGTTTCTTGGCCTGCTTCAGTTGCTTTATCTGTAAAATTTAGTACTAACAGTACCTACTTCGTAGAGTTGTATGAGAAATAAATGAGTTAACATATGTGAAATGCTGAGCTACTATTACTATTTATAGAGTAACTACTACGTCCTAGGTGCCAGACTTGGCTTTACAAATATACCATTTCAACTTATTCCTTCCAACAATCCTATGACACAAGATAACCTCCATTTTCACCTGAGGAAGTGGCCTCAAGGGGTTCCAGGGCAAAATCCTACTAGGGCGCACTTCCCTAAGAAGTGACTTTACCAGTTATTTACCGATGGGGAAACTAAGGCTCAGCTGGTTTACATAATCCACAGTTCTGAGTGATAGGCTGTGAATTAAATACAGATGAGGCAATTACACAACATGCAGCCTGGGCTCTTTCCTTGTACCAGCCTCAAGCATCTACTCTTTTGGGGCAGAGTAGGGGCCATCATGAAGAGCAGGGATGACCACAGACCATTCCGCTTCTCCACTCCACTTCTCATTCCTTCTTGGAATGAGACCAAGAAGCACTGAGGCTCCTAAGAGAACCAAATAAGAGGGGAGGAAAATAGAAACCTAAGAGGAACTTTATGTGAGCAGCCTCTGTATTTGATAAGTATTTTAGTAAATCTCTTTCCAGGGCCACAGGGCACTTGCTTAAGGCAGCACGGTGTCTCCTGCTGAGACGAGCTCTCAAGGAGTAGCCCACAGAACCCTGTCAGCCCTGCCAATCCCGGGATCTCTGAGCATCCGCTGGAGTCCTTCCTTTCAACAGCTGCTTGTCTTCCTGAGAGACTCGCGCCAAGAGGCCCCAAGTCCCCAGTAACAGCCTGGCCATCAGCGATTCATGCAGCATCCTAGATTAGAAAAGCTTTTCTCCCCCAACAAATCTGTCCGTAATCAGCAATGACAGGAGAGCAGACACACTTGGAACAGTCACCAGGAATCTGACTTCCAAAAAGGGCCCTCTCTATCAGGACGGGGCTAACAATTCCTTTAGAATACAATGAAGCAACCCGGCTGGCAGGGGCAATCTGCATCAAAAACTCAGCCACACCGCCAACAATTTGCATCCTTGCAGCAGGAACTGAACCCAATCTGACCTTTTACCTCCAGGACCACTTTTGTGCTGCTGCTTGCTAACTGCTGTAAAAAGCACTTGTGGTCATATTCCAATTAAAACTCTTATTTTGCTAAAACAGACCAATTAACACACCCTTTGTGCCTCTCTAAAGATTCTGTCATTCTTAGAATGATCCAGTCAAAAGGCACAATCTTCCCAGAAGTCATTCACAGCAGGGAGTGAGGAGGGGAGGTGGAGAAAGCCTCAAGGGAGAGGGAGCGAAGGGAAGGGGGACAGGGCCTGGAGAGGGAGCCCCACAGACAGACAGCGCCTCCCTGCGCTCTACAAAGAGCAAGGCCAACTCCTGGCAAAACAAGATAAACATCCAGTTTAAGGCTATTATCTCCTTTATTCAAAAAATAAATATTTCACTTTTGAGTCAACAAATTTCAAATCACATTAAGCACAGAGAAGAAATACAGTCCCTTTGGAAATTGTGAATGACATGTAGGAAAGTCATGTTCAAAACAATGGGGATGGAGTGAGCACTGGTTCCAACCTATTCATTCGTGATCCAGAGATCCCTCCTCTCACCAAGTGGAGCTACACAACGATTTCAGGAGAGAAAAAGAAACACACACACACGGCTTTGAAGTCTGAAAGGCACATGAAGTGGACCATAAGGTGTATGGCACGTTCACTGATAAAACGCTCCCTATCCCCTCCCAGAAAAGTGGAAAAACTTTAATCAAGTCAAAGACCAGAGAAGACAGGGTGCTCCTGCTTAAGAGCTCAGCGTCAGGAAAATCTCTGAATATGAAAGCCATTTTTCTCTTGCTTTTGCCCTCCCGCAGCACTCACTCGGTGACAGTGGGGCGCGTGGCCACGTACACGAACACTACGATCAGGAGCACGACCACGGCCAGCGTGGGCAGCACCACCGTGGTGATCTGCTGCCGGGCCTCCTGCATGGCCTGCTTCCGCTCCTTCTTGTCCTTGGACGTCTCCTTCTTGGGCTTCCCTTTGAGCTGCCGCATCTTTCCTAGGGGGTGCTAGGAGGGCGTGTCCAGAGAGGATTTTGCAGGAAGGGCCACAGTCCTCAGGTCAAAGCGCAGAAACTCCTGTAGAGAGAACTGTGATCAGGAACGGATGGAGTGAAAGGAATAAGAACTCATAAAGGTAAAGGCAAATGCTAAACTAGGAAAAATATCTGTAACTTGTAAGGCAAGGGGTTAAGGACAGCAGAGGTCATACCGCAGAGGCCTCAGTGGTGGGTGAGTGGTGAGGATGAGCTGGATATATGCCTGGGTTCCCACCATCAGCGTATCCCAGCCAGCAGGCACAGCAGGCGCCTCAGCTCCTCAGGCAGCTGGACAAGGCCCTGGGTTCCATATAAACATAATCGCTTCCTGTGCATGCCGTGACATGAAAGGGCTGGAAAGCACTAACTTCGCTGCTTCCACTTGAAGGAGAGCAGGGCACATTTCTCCCTTCCAAGGCTCTACCTACTTACTCTGTTGTTCTAAATCCCAGTCACTCCAGCCAACCTCCAGTGTTGAACCGCAGGCAACCTGCAGATCCCAGGCTCCCTTCCCGCCCGAGCCTGGAGGCTTGACTGCAGGCCGGGGCAGCCTCACTGGGACTGAGGAGAGCCCAGAGGCAGTAACTTCCCTTGTCTTCCATTGGTTCCTCTACCCATCCATCCCAACCTTCCTGAGCACCCACTGTGTGCCAAGCACTACTCAAAGTGAGGAAGAAGGGAAAGACTCAGTGCTGTCTTTACAAGCCCACAGTGTAAGAGTGCATGATGGGTTGCAGGCAGAGCGGAATCTGGGTCAGACAACATATGGAGATGGGCTGAGCTTGCAGTCCAGTCGCCCACTCGACCTAGGAATCGTGTACCTTCCGTGGCCTGTGGTGGGTGCTCCGGTGGTAAAGCAGAGCCCGAGGATGAATGGAACCCGGGGATGAATGGAACCCCTGGATAACCCCAGAGCAACAGCTCCACACAAGTCTGATTCTCAGCTTTAAGCAACAGAAATAGACTTTGGCTGATTTAAATTGAGAAGGAGTTTACTCAAAGGCCTCTGATATCTCACAGGATCCCCAGAAAAGCCAGAGGACCAGACTCAGGAAATGAGCAAGACCCACAGGAGCTGTGCAGCCCTCACTGGAGCCCCAACCCACACTACAGATCATGACAATGTCACAGGTTGTTTCGCCTGGACACTGCCACTGGAGCAGGAGTCCTCAGGCCACCAGAAACTAGATGCAGCTGCTGTCACTGCCTCGGGATGAATTCTCCAGCACTCTGGCGCTGCATCACCAGCTCCCAAGGGTATCTGATTAGCCAAGGAGTAGAATTTGGATATGGAGCAGGGAAATTAAAAAAAAAAAAAAAAAAAGTCCATCATAATATCCTGGGAGACTAGCATGGATCCCGGAGCTCTCGGAGCCAGAAGAGCAGTACACGCCAATATTCCTCTACGAGGCTTTTTGTAACAAGATATCGTGTGCCCAGTTTTGACCCTCAGCAGTGGGTGGCCTGTCACCACCCGATGAGGAAGATGACATTTACACCGAAGTGACCATGTTAAGAGGCAGAATGTGGAATGTGAAAAAAAATATATACTCTCTTGTGGATATAAGATCCTAACCTCTTATAACAATCAGGCCAAGTTTCTCATGAGGCAAGATGGCTAATATTATCGCACTGGGATGAACTAATGACAGCAGGAAGCAGCTAGTAAAGTTCAGGGCAACCCCATTTGGGCAAATTTACAATCTCCATTAGGCTTTTAAAAATACCCACTATTACCTTCTTAAGATCTGACAGGTATAGGAACCCCTGGCTTTACCAATTATCCTTTCCAGTCTTTCAAAGAACTTCAGACAGACCTGAGTTCAAATTCCAGGACATACTACTCACTGGCTGAAGGGCTTGGGGCAGATCACCTACCTTCAATGGCCTCAATGTCATCATCAGAATGAGAAGTTTCTCTCACAAAGAATGACTGTGAGGATTTGAAAATGCACACGTAGGGGGCGCTCTGCCTGCCCACAGGGAAGGGGTCCAGGCTGGCTGAGCAGGACAGAGCCAGCTTCCTCTGCCTACCACAAGCCCGCTCGGCGACCCCGGGAAGAGCTCACTGAGCCTCTCAAAGCCTCAACTGTGCCCACTCCCTGCAGGACCGTAGTGAGGATGACATAAGAATCTGCATGACACAAGAATCTGGGTAACACGGTGCTTGGCGTAGAGAAGGCACTCAATCCACTGTAGCTGACACTACTGGAACTCACCCCGGCAGTTTGTGATTCAGACAAAGCAGTCTTATTACTCTCATTTTTTAGATGAGGAAACCAAGGAGCAAGAGGAAAGTGTCAAAGGTCATCCAGTCTATAAATACTATTAAGTGGCTTCTAACAAAGCAATGGATGGCATCCCTCATCCAAAGCTATGAGCCATGGTCCATTTTCTCTTTGACACATCCTCACAAAATTGTTTTAAAAGAGACAGGCCATTAGCAGCACTCTGATTTGTAGCCATTTTCCTGTGGAGTTAATGGCCCATCGGGCATTGAAAGGAGGACCCCACTGTGGTCCCTCACAGGACTGGCTGCAGGTAGGTAGGAAGCAACAGGGACCCCAGAGTTAAGGGGGGGCCCCAGCCACTCTGGCTAAGAGCGCGGGCCCTGACTTTTGTCCTGATCCTTTTACTGCTGTCTCCATCTTGTCACATATGTGCGGTTGACATTCAAAGGCACCAGCCTCCGTGATGACCAGATCTTGACATTTATAAGATGCATTCAGAAGTTCTCAGAGGCCTGGAAAAAAGCCTTGAGTTGCTGGAGACAGTGCAGGTTGGTCAGGGTTTAAAAGAAAAACACGTTGCTTTGAATTCTGGGTTCTTCGTTAGGCTAATGTGGGCGGCCTCCCTGCTCTCACAGCCCTGTGCTCTCCCTAGGGTGAAAGAGTCAGGGAAAGCATCCCTGAGATAACAACTTAGAAGAGGAAAAGGGACCAGCCAGGACAAAAGTGGGTAAGAGCAGCCGGCAGAGGGAGTGGAAGGATCCAGGATGAACCCAGGGAGGATAGCAAAAACCGGGTCATCCAGGGGCTTACAGACCATGAGGAGGAGTTGGGGCTTATCCCAAGAGCGTCATGAGGCAATGAAGGCCTTCATGCAAGGAGGCGAATGTTTTGAAAAGCTCCCGCTGGCTGGACCAGTCCTGTCTGTGGAGAGTAGGGCACAGGGAATGAAAAGGGAGGCTCTTGGAACAGACCAGGGAGGAAAGGGGTGGCTCAGAGTTGGGGGTGGTCAGTGCTGATAAAGAGGAGGATGAAGTCGGGTTATATTTTGAGAGTACGACTGACAGGACCTATTAACAGATTAGACATGGCACATGAGAGTAAGGGAGAAATCACAGATGGACTTACAGTCTGCTGCTTGGGCAACTGGTTGGGTGCTGATCCTGCTTCAGGAAATGAGGGAGAACAGCACGGGGTGGCGGGGAGGATTTGAGAAAGAACATTAAGTGCTCTTTTCACACCTATCCATGTGTGAGGACGCCTATTAGACATCGCCATGGAGATATCAAGGAGACAGTGGAAGAAATGAGTCAGGAGCGCAGTCTGGGCTAAAGATCTATATTTGGAAGTCATCAGCTGGACAAGGTGAGCTCACTGAGGCCAAGGTAGATGTAGAAAAGGGCCCAGCAAAGGCCCTGCAGCACCTGATGGAGGAAAGCAGGCAGAGGAGGCTGGGAGAAGCAGCAAGTGAGGAAGAGAATGCAAAGTCCTGGGGAACGAGAGAGTCAAGAAGGCACTGCTTCAAAATGCTGCCGAGAGACGAAGTGAAGATAAAACTGGACGAGGTGAGCTCACTGAGGCCAAGGTAGATGTAGAAAAGGGCCTAGCGAAGGCCCTGCAGCACCTGATGGAGGAAAGCAGGCAGAGGAGGCTGGGAGAAGCGGCAAGTGAGGAAGAGAATGCAAAGTCCTGGAGAACGAGAGAGTCAAGAAGGCACTGCTTCAAAATGCTGCCGAGAGACGAAGTGAAGATAAAGAAGCATCTGCTGGATTTGGCAACGTGGGGATCTGACGTGGGTAACTTCAGTGGATGAGAGGCGAGGGTTCAGATGAGGGCTACTACAAGAGTGGCCCACTCACTGTTACTTGTCTGAGAGGGAAGCTCGTGCCAGTATGCAAACCAACATCCTACTTCCTCCATTGAGAAAGTTTTGCCATGAGAAAATTATGTCAGCTGAACTAAATTATGCATAATACACAGCTGATTTACATTCTAGAGCAAATTCCTTAATCCTGTGACAACTTGTGATAAATGGTTCACACGCCAACACTTGGACTAGCACTCGGATAGACAACTGGTCTGAAGTTCTCCTGGAAGAGCATGTGGGGGGCCAAGAGAGAAACCAGAGGATGTGTGAGGGGTCCAACTGCATGCGAGAAAACCCTAACGTTGAAAACAAGAGGGAATATCTGTAGGAGTGAGGCGAGGGCACAAAGGGACAGCTTCGCCTCTGAGAGAAGCAAAGACACGACTCTGAATCCAGTGGGAGACAAAGTGGAAAAGATGGGTACAGGAGGAGGCAGGTCCATACTGTGTGGTGCGAATGAGAAGCTTCTATTTTCTCGATGAAACAGGAAAGGGCTTCTGCTTCAAGTCTGGGCAGTTGGGAAGCAGGCTTGAGTAAAGAGAAGGCATGAAATAACCATCTTGGAGGGTAGAAAAGCAAATATATCAGGGAAACACCAGCACTTATGGCTGACACTCTTAAATGCTTAATATCCAGGCCTCACCTCCCCCCAGGAGGGCTGAGGACCACCCTACCACATGGTCTGGCCTCACCCAGTGGACCAGGTGGCCTGCCAGGCCAAGGCCGGCTCATCTAGACTCTGCTTTGCCTTAAAAAGATAAGCTGGGCTAATCAGCCTCTATTTCAGAAATCTAAATTAAGAAACATGAAGGGACACCGAAGTTGGACAATCACGCAGATGGAGGCACCATGGAAGCCATCCAATGCTATGTGCAGAAGACAAGAGAGGAAGCCTGGTGGGGGAAAAGAAATGGAAGCAGAGGGGAGCGCCCCTGAGACTGGGAG